GCTTCATAACCTCCATTATTAGCGGTTTGTAAAACCTTGACTTTGTCAGGGTATTTTTTTCTATTTGGACATTCATTGGCATAGTGTCCTTCTTCATTGCAGATCCAACATCTACATTTTTTCTTTCCTTGTGGACAGGAAGTAGTCTTCTTAGGTGATTCTTTTGAAGGTTTTTTGAAGTATTTTCCTGGTGAAAATTTTCTTCTTTTCTTTTTCCAGAAAGATTTGTATTTCTTTTTGTTTTTATATTTTTTCTTAGTATAAGTTTTCCTTCCAATATCAAAGTTTTTGAAATCAGAGAGAATGCTACAACAATCTTTACTTATTGTTTTGAGCTTTTGTTGTTTATATCTGTCTTGACAGATTCTATCAATTTCTTCCTTTGCAATTTTTGTTGCATAAGAAAGACTGGTTTGCTGGATTTCTCCAGTAGCTTCTTTTTTCCATCTTTCAGTACAGATTTCTCCAATAATTGGAATTTTCATTAGATAAGCAGATATCCATTGTGCATATTCACTTCTCTGGGGAATATCATATAGATATGATTCATACATACATGTGTATTTGTCGAGAAGACTAATATCATGTAATTGGAGTTTTGTCATTGAAACTCTTGCTACGTCAACTTTCTTATTAATGGTAAAGTCTTTATTAGAAATATAATCAAGACCTAAGAAAGTAGTGTATATGACATTTATGAGATTATCAAAAAGATCTGAACCATGCAAATCTTCATTCCAATTATTGTTTCTTAGGAACTTTTGCACAATTCCATCAGTTTTGTGTTCTAAAAGTAGAAGAACATTTTTTGCTTTTTCAAATTCATCTGGGTTTGTCTGTAAGATTAGTGAAATCTCAGTAACCCATTTTTCTACAACTCTTTCTCTGAGTTTTAGATCTTGGATACAATCAATATTGAGTATATTGATCGTATTGGGTCCTTTGCTACTATCTGGAATACCATTGTGTACAGGCATTTTGAACTCATATTTCTTTTTATTGCCTCTTCTTGTGGCTGTATAAGAAGATTCTGCTTCATCATCTTCCATATCTGAATATTCGAACTTAACAGTCTTTGTATTAGTTTTAAAGTTATCTTCTTGTTCTGATTCAGTATCAGGTTCATCTATTTTAGTCATTCTAAAATATTGATCAAAAAGTTTGGGTTCTTTTTGATACAATTCTTCGCATTCTTTAGTTTCTAAAGATAAAAGCTGAATAAGTTTTTGGTCAGCCTTATCATAATCTTCATATTGAAGGTTAAAGAAATATTTCTCAAGTTTCTCAGAGATTGTTTCTTTCATTTTTGCTCTTTTTTGAAAATATCAATTTTCTGGGAGTCTTTTGAGCTTCCTAAGTCAGGGTTTCCAATACTAGGATTGGGAGGTGAGTATTTCTTAAGACCTGAATATTTTCCAGGTTTGGTTTTTTGCTCTATGATGGAAATATTCTTGATGTGTTCAAGAATGTCTTTATTACAAGGGCAAGAGTCAATCTTTTCAGATAACTCTTTAGTAATGTCTGCAATAATTTTTGCAGATGCTACTTCCAACTGTGTAGTGGTTACGTATTTATTGACTGTTAAGTCAAAGTTTATGATCAGCCCATCTATTTTTTCATTAAGGAGGTTGATTGATCTATTGAGCTCGGGAATCGAGGTCATCCTATTAGTTGTTTTAACTGATCTTGTATATTAGTGATCTTAAGGTTGTTTTCCTTAAGAGTGCCTTCAATATTTGCCTTTTTGGCGACTTCTTCAACAAAATGGTTGTTTTTTAAAGAGTTTTCTAAAAGAATAGAATGTTTGTCAATAGACTGGGTTAGCTTGATAGTTAATTTATTTTGCCTTTCAATAACTTCGAAGAATTTTTCAAAATCATTTTTATCAAGATTGTTTTTAACCAAAAAGGCTAAATCGTTTTTAAATTGGTTAAAAGGTATTTTATTTTTTGAAATATCTTTAGAAATATCTTTTGAAATACCAAGGTAATGGCTTATTTTTGAAGTTTTTAAGAGACATCTTGCAATGATCTGGTTGAGATTATTGCAATGATTTACAATTGTTTGAATACCAGCTTTTCCAGAAGTAGAGAAAATGTATTCTTTCTTTTTAGTATTGTCGTCAAGAGTTTTAATTTTTACTGTTTTACCTTTTTTATAAAAATGAGGAAAATCTATTTTATTACTCATTTATAACTTCAGAGATTTGTTTGATATTCTGACGTAGACTATCAATTTTTAAAGACATGTTTCTTATCAAGTTACTATCTTTTCTTTCTGAGCTTTCTCCTATATGGAGTGAATCCATAGAAATTCTTGGTCTAAGAGTTTCTCCTAGAGCTTTTTTGTTTCTAGCTATATTTAAAACCCAAGAGTTTTCTTGAGGATTTATGTCGCATAATTGTTTATCTTTGACATGGCCTATTTCTGAAAAGACATCATCAAGTTCGATGTACTCGTCTTTCTTGTAGTCTATGCTATGGTGACTATTGGTCAGGGCATATCCTATGAGATAGGTTATGGTGAATGGTTTATCACCTGGGTTCATAAGGTCACTTCTTTCAAAGTGATGTATAAAAGATAAAGTTTTATCTATATTTGCAGATTTCAAATCCAGAGCAAATTTTGGATAGACTGAAAACATAAATTTTTGGTAAGCAAGGTTTCCCCTAGCAGCACCTAAGATGCAGTCCTGTCTGTCAGTAATTCTGTTGTCAATTAAGGCCATTTTTATGGGAGAATTTATTCCTGCTTGGAATTGGGATTTTATTAAAAATTTTACAGCTCCGATATGGACCATTCTTATTTTTTATCTAATCTCAACTGGAATACTTTTCAAGTTATTGTTTATTTGTTCTTTAGTTAAAAGGGGTAGAAAGACAGCTCCTATTGTGTCTTTTATGTCTACAGACATTTCTTTAGTACTAACAAAGTAGAAAATTTCATTTTTTCTTTTAAGTGGATTTAAAATACTAAGTTTAGAAGGAACATTTTTTAAAATGTTTTCTTTCTTTATTTTTAAATCTGTTTTCTTAACTCGAGAGAGAAGGTCTTGTTTTATTAAGAGGTTTGCATGAAAGCCGTCTTCATCCTCAACATAAGTTAGGATTTGTTTTTCTTCTGAATCATTTTCTTCAGAATTGTTGAACATTTCTTTATTCATTTTAAGAAATGTTAACAAGTTAAAATCCTTTTCTGAGTTCTGAAACTGAGTTTAAAGCTTTATCAAGGTGTTCTTGATGCATTTTTTGCCTATGAAGGAGGTACTTACGTATATTAACCATGGTTGGTATATATTTGTGAGTATGTTTATTTTGTGCTTGTAGAATTCTGAAAATTATATGCACTAAATCTTTTTTATTACTTAAAAGTATTTCTTTATGTTGAGAAATCTCATTCTCTTTATTACGAACTTTATCGAAAATTCCACTGTAAAGTGTTTCATTATAATGTAATGCCATTTTAACAAAGGCTCTGATACCAGTATTTTAAATCCACTTAAAAGAAAAAATGAAATTTTCTACTTTGTTAGTACTAAAGAAATGTCTGTAGACATAAAAGACACAATAGGAGCTGTCTTTCTACCCCTTTTTAACTAAAGAACAAATAAACAATAACTTGAAAAGTATTCCAGTTGAGATTAGATAAAAAATAAGAATGGTCCATATCGGAGCTGTAAAATTTTTAATAAAATCCCAATTCCAAGCAGGAATAAATTCTCCCATAAAAATGGCCGTAACTGACAACAGAATTACTGACAGACAGGACTGCATCTTAGGTGCTGCTAGGGGAAACCTTGCTTACCAAAAAATTATGTTTTCAGTCTATCCAAAATTTGCTCTGGATTTGAAATCTGCAAATATAGATAAAACTTTATCTTTTATACATCACTTTGAAAGAAGTGACCTTATGAACCCAGGTGATAAACCATTCACCATAACCTATCTCATAGGATATGCCCTGACCAATAGTCACCATAGCATAGACTACAAGAAAGACGAGTACATCGAACTTGATGATGTCTTTTCAGAAATAGGCCATGTCAAAGATAAACAATTCTGCGACACAAATCCTCAAGAAAACTCTTGGGTTTTAAATATAGCTAGAAACAAAAAAGCTCTAGGAGAAACTCTTAGACCAAGAATTTCTATGGATTCACTCCATATAGGAGAAAGCTCAGAAAGAAAAGATAGTAACTTGATAAGAAACATGTCTTTAAAATAGATTTTCCTCATTTTTATAAAAAAGGTAAAACAGTAAAAATTAAACTACAGATCATTACAAGATGTCTCTTAAAAACTTCAAAAATAAGCCATTACCTTGGTATTTCAAAAGATATTTCTAAAGATATTTCAAAAAATAAAATACCTTTTAACCAATTTAAAAACGATTTAGCCTTTTTGGTTAAAAACAATCTTGATAAAAATGATTTTGAAAAATTCTTCGAAGTTATTGAAAGGCAAAATAAATTAACTATCAAGCTAACCCAGTCTATTGACAAACATTCTATTCTTTTAGAAAACACTTTAAAAAACAACCATTTTGTTGAAGAAGTCGCCAAAAAGGCAAATATTGAAGGCACTCTTAAGGAAAACAACCTTAAGATCACTAATATACAAGATCAGTTAAAACAACTAATAGGATGACCTCGATTCCCGAGCTCAATAGATCAATCAACCTCCTTAATGAAAAAATAGATGGGTTGATCATAAACTTTGACTTAACAGTCAATAAATACGTAACCACTACACAGTTGGAAGTAGCATCTGCAAAAATTATTGCAGACATTACTAAAGAGTTATCTGAAAAGATTGACTCTTGCCCTTGTAATAAAGACATTCTTGAACACATCAAGAATATTTCCATCATAGAGCAAAAAACCAAACCTGGAAAATATTCAGGTCTTAAGAAATACTCACCTCCCAATCCTAGTATTGGAACCCTGACTTAGGAAGCTCAAAAGACTCCCAGAAAATTGATATTTTCAAAAAAGAGCAAAAATGAAAGAAACAATCTCTGAGAAACTTGAGAAATATTTCTTTAACCTTCAATATGAAGATTATGATAAGGCTGACCAAAAACTTATTCAGCTTTTATCTTTAGAAACTAAAGAATGCGAAGAATTGTATCAAAAAGAACCCAAACTTTTTGATCAATATTTTAGAATGACTAAAATAGATGAACCTGATACTGAATCAGAACAAGAAGATAACTTTAAAACTAATACAAAGACTGTTAAGTTCGAATATTCAGATATGGAAGATGATGAAGCAGAATCTTCTTATACAGCCACAAGAAGAGGCAATAAAAAGAAATATGAGTTCAAAATGCCTGTACACAATGGTATTCCAGATAGTAGCAAAGGACCCAATACGATCAATATACTCAATATTGATTGTATCCAAGATCTAAAACTCAGAGAAAGAGTTGTAGAAAAATGGGTTACTGAGATTTCACTAATCTTACAGACAAACCCAGATGAATTTGAAAAAGCAAAAAATGTTCTTCTACTTTTAGAACACAAAACTGATGGAATTGTGCAAAAGTTCCTAAGAAACAATAATTGGAATGAAGATTTGCATGGTTCAGATCTTTTTGATAATCTCATAAATGTCATATACACTACTTTCTTAGGTCTTGATTATATTTCTAATAAAGACTTTACCATTAATAAGAAAGTTGACGTAGCAAGAGTTTCAATGACAAAACTCCAATTACATGATATTAGTCTTCTCGACAAATACACATGTATGTATGAATCATATCTATATGATATTCCCCAGAGAAGTGAATATGCACAATGGATATCTGCTTATCTAATGAAAATTCCAATTATTGGAGAAATCTGTACTGAAAGATGGAAAAAAGAAGCTACTGGAGAAATCCAGCAAACCAGTCTTTCTTATGCAACAAAAATTGCAAAGGAAGAAATTGATAGAATCTGTCAAGACAGATATAAACAACAAAAGCTCAAAACAATAAGTAAAGATTGTTGTAGCATTCTCTCTGATTTCAAAAACTTTGATATTGGAAGGAAAACTTATACTAAGAAAAAATATAAAAACAAAAAGAAATACAAATCTTTCTGGAAAAAGAAAAGAAGAAAATTTTCACCAGGAAAATACTTCAAAAAACCTTCAAAAGAATCACCTAAGAAGACTACTTCCTGTCCACAAGGAAAGAAAAAATGTAGATGTTGGATCTGCAATGAAGAAGGACACTATGCCAATGAATGTCCAAATAGAAAAAATACCCTGACAAAGTCAAGGTTTTACAAACCGCTAATAATGGAGGTTATGAAGCTCTTGAAGAGGAGTATGAAGGTATACAACATGTCTTTACATTTCATGTTGAAACTGATTCTTCATCAAATTCTGATGAAAACGAATCAACCACGGATGACTCAGACTAGTCTCATACAGGCTCCACTTTTTAGGGAGGAGGAGTTTAACCATTTTTGCGCAAACCTCCAGAAGATTAATGATTCCCTTATCATGAATCTCACTAATCCAAACTCTATTTATGTTTCTGCCTTCCTTAACTTTAAAGGATATAAGAAATTTAGAGTACATTGTTTTGTAGACACAGGTGCATCTTTATGTCTTGCAAGCAAATTCATCATTCCGGATGAGCTCTGGGAAAATGCTCCCAAAGAAATTAGTGCCACTATTGCAAATGGTGAAACCATAAAGATAAATAAAGTTTGTAGAAATATTAATCTCGAACTTTCAGGAGAACATTTCAACGTTCCCACTATTTACCAACAAAATTCAGGAATTGATATCATAATTGGTAACAACTTTTGTCAAGTTTATGGACCATTTATACAATGGATAGATAGAATTGCCTTTCATCTTAATAATGATATGGTAATTATAAAAACAAATTTCAGGTACTAATATAACCCAAGAAGGAATTAATAAAGAAAGGATTTTTTCTATTCAAACTACCAGGTTCAAACAGATTGAAGATCTTCTTGAAAAAGTTTGTTCTGAAAATCCTATTGATCCAGATAAAACCAAAGGATGGATGAAAGCTTCAATTAAGCTCATTAATCCCAAAACGGTTATTAGAGAAAAACCTATGGTTTACTCTCTACAAGATAGAGAAGAATTCTCCAAACAAATCAAGGAATTACTTGATATGAGACTAATTATAGAATCAAAATCCCCTCATATGTCCCCTGCCTTTCTTGTCAATAAAGAAGCAGAAAAAAGAAGAGGAAAGAAGCGCATGGTTGTCAACTACAAAGCAATCAATGATGCAACTATTGGAGACTCACATAATCTTCCCAATATGCACGAACTTTTGACTCTTCTACGAGGAAAAAATATGTATTCAAGTTTTGACTGCAAGTCAGGTTTCTGGCAAGTCCTACTTGATGAAGAATCGCAGCTTCTCACTGCCTTCACATGTCCTGATGGACTCTTTCAATGGAAAGTACTACCCTTTGGGCTTAAACAAGCTCCTAGTATTTTTCAAAGACACATGCAGAACGCCCTTCGAGGACTTGAAGGTTTCTGTACTGTATACGTTGATGACATCATGGTCTTCAGCAAAGATGAACAAGAGCACTATGTTCATGTTACACAGGTTCTCAGAACCATTTTAAAATATGGAATAATACTTTCAAAAAAGAAAGCTCATCTTTTCAAAACAAAAATTAATTTTTTGGGTTTAGAAATAAATGAGGGTACTCATTGTCCTCAAAAGCATATTCTTGAACATTTACATGACTTTCCAAATGTTTTAGAAGACAAAAAACAACTGCAAAGATTTCTTGGTGTTTTAACTTATGCTGAAACATATATTGAAAAACTTGCAGCCATGAGAAAACCTTTACAGGTAAAATTGAAAAAAGATGTCATCTGGAATTGGTCAAATGCTGATACAGACTACATCAAAAAGATAAAGAAAGTTTTAATCAATTTTCCAAAACTTTATCTTCCAAACATTGAAGACAGTTTAATTATTGAAACTGATGCTTCTGATGAATTTTGGGGAGGTGTTTTAAAAGCTAAAACCCCCAAAAACGAAGAACAAATTTGCAGGTACACCTCTGGCAGTTTCAAGGCAGCCGAGAAAAACTACCATAGCAATGAAAAAGAATTACTCGCTGTAAAAAGAGTTATTACAAAATTCTCTGTATATTTAACACCAGTAAATTTCTTGGTTCGTACAGATAATAAAAATTTTACTTATTTCCTCCGAACTAAGATTGCAGGAGACAACAAATTAGGCCGACTAATACGTTGGCAAGAGTGGTTCTCACGATATACTTTCACTGTTGAACATCTCGCAGGAAATAAAAATGTACTGGCAGACTGCCTCACCCGTAACTTCAGGTATGCCTTACATCATCCATGATCTCACTTGCTCCTCTCGAGCCCTATAAAAGGATATGATCCTCATGACATATTCCTCACAAAAAAAAACTTCACCTACAAAAAAAGAGAGGGGAGATTAGAGAGAAAAGTAAACAAAAATTGAGTTTACAAAAATGGAAGACCTCAACACTTTGAGGATAAAGAAACAAATGCTCCTCATTGAGCTATCTGCAATTGAGCAGAAAATCAACTTGTATGAACAAGTAACAACGGTCACCAATGTACCGGAAAGCGAAAGCTTAAAAACAAAGGCTATTCCAGTGCAAACGGCACCTGGTAAAGAATCGACAAATCCGTTGAAAGCTGATGCTTTGCTAAAAAGCATAATAAAGGAGACAGCTACTCCTCTTCCTGAAGGAAAAACTAGCTTATTGGTTAACCCCAATCCTTGTACTGAAGGAATCAGTAAAATGACAACTTTGTCACCCACCAACAAATCTGTGCAGGAGTTTACACCAGATTACAAAAAAGCTCTTAACAAAGAAGCTGAAAGATTTTATGTAATCTACAAAGGACCACATGCCGGTGTTCATACTGACTGGGGAATTACAGAAACTTTCTGTAAAGCTGATAAAGTTACTTGCAAAAAATTCAGAAATGAAGCATCTGCAAGATTAAGCCTTGCCACCTATCAAGATGATACAAGCAAAACTAACCAACCACTTCTTCGACCAAAAATCCAAAAAGTCAAAGAAGCTCACAGAAACCAAAGGTTTGACGTTCCAATTGACGTTCAACAAACGGTTAACTATCCTGAAATCTCTTTTGAAGATTTCAGAACAATCTGGAAGAAAGCAAGAGCTGCATGCCCAGAAGATCTTATTTATGAAAAGTTTTTCACTACGGATAAGAAGACAAAAAGTCTGTTCAACTTCCTCGAAGGAGTAGATGCAAATTTAGTCTACCAAGCCTTTCAAGCTGGACTAATCGACAATATCTACCCAAGTTGCAACCTTCAAGAACTCAATTTCTTCCCAAGCAGCATGGTAGAATCCATTAAGAACTTTCGAAAGAAAGTACTTAAAGCAAAAGATAACCCGATCTACATCAGATGCATCTCTTCACTCCCAGAATGGATTCAAGAATCAACTCTTTCTTCATACCATTTTCTGGAAATTGGTCTTTCTAAAACCAATAGAGAAATTGAACAATCTCGACCAATGGAGGATAAAGATCTACCATTCACAGAAATTCTTCATCCCAATCGCATCAAAAGGGTTAAGAAGAATCTCAGAAAAAAAATTTAATGTCTTGTGAGTAAAATCTCCCTTAGAGGGTAGAAGATGTAAAATATTGTAAGAGTACTCCCATCTTGTGAGCTCTTTTATCAATAAATCCATGTTTTGTTATACTTAAGTGTTCATACAAAATAGAGTAATGAAACCTGTAAGTGACAGAGTGTCAGGTCGACGATGGTCAACAGTACCGCAGGCATGAGGCCAACAGGGAAAGCAACCACACAGACCAAAGGATGACACAGGCTGGCTTGAATAGTTTCTATCTATGTAAGTAATACTCCTACTCCAAAAACTTATTGATTAAATGAGTTTTCTGTTTACATTTTTTTCATCTATTCTCTTCTTCTTGTCAAAAAAAAAACCGCACACACACGCCTATTCAGAAAACCGCCACACACGCCTATTCAGAAAACCACACACACACGACATGCCAACTGGTATCAGAGCCTTTGTTAAAATGGCATTACATTATAATGAAACACTTTACAGTGGCATTTTCGATAAAATTCGTAATAAAGAGAATGAGATTTCTCAACATAAAGAAATACTTTTAAGTAATAAAAAAGATTTAGTGCATATAAATTTCAGAATTCTACAAGCACAAAATAAACATACTCACGAATATATACCAACCATGGTTAATATACGTAAGTACCTCCTTCATAGGCAAAAAATGCATCAAGAACACCTTGATAAAGCTTTAAACTCAGTTTCAGAACTCAGAAAAGGATTTTAACTTGTTAACATTTCTTAAAATGAATAAAGAAATTTTCAACAATTCTGAAGAAAATGATTCAGAAGAAAAACAAATCCTAACTTATGTTGAGGATGAAGACGGCTTTCATGCAAACCTCTTAATAAAACAAAACCTTCTCTCTCGAGTTAAGAAAACAGATTTAAAAATAAAGAAAGAAAACATTTTAAAAAATGTTCCTTCTAAACCTAGTATTTTAAATCCACTTAAAAGAAAAAAATGAAATTTTCTACTTTGTTAGTACTAAAGAAATGTCTGTAGACATAAAAGACACAATAGGAGCTGTCTTTCTACCCCTTTTAACTAAAGAACAAATAAACAATAACTTGAAAAGTATTCCAGTTGAGATTAGATAAAAAATAAGAATGGTCCATATCGGAGCTGTAAAAATTTTGATAAAATCCCAATTCCAAGCAGGAATAAATTCTCCCATAAAAATGGCCTTAATTGACAACAGAATTACTGACAGACAGGACTGCATCTTAAGTGCTGCTAGGGGAAACCTTGCTTACCAAAAGTTTATGTTTTCAGTCTATCCAAAATTTGCTCTGGATTTGAAATCTGCAAATATAGACAAAACTTTATCTTTTATACATCACTTTGAAAGAAGTGACCTTATGAACCCAGGTGATAAACCATTCACCATAACCTATCTCATAGGATATGCCCTGACCAATAGTCACCATAGCATAGACTACAAGAAAGACGAGTACATCGAACTTGATGATGTCTTTTTAGAAATAGGCCATGTCAAAGATAAACAATTTTGCGACATAAATCCTCAAGAAAACTCTTGGGTTTTAAATATAGCTAGAAACAAAAAAGCTCTAGGAGTAACTCTTAGACCAAGAATTTCTATGGATTCACTCCATATAGGAGAAAGCTCAGAAAGAAAAGATAGTAACTTGATAAGAAACATGTCTTTAAAATAGATTTTCCTCATTTTTATAAAAAAGGTAAAACAGTAAAAATTAAACTCCAAATCATTGCAAGATGTCTCTTAAAAACTTCAAAAATAAGCCATTACCTTGGT